GTCTTGCTGTAACCTCCGTACGGACGACCATCGGTGGTCGTCTTGCCGGTTGGAGCAGGAGTCTTCTGGAACCTGCTGGCCGATCCATCCATCTGGTTCCCAGACCTGAAGTTCGCACCGTCCATCTGTGTGCCTGTCTTGAATCGTGGTACAAAGGGTTTCTTCCCCTTGTTCAACGACTGACCACCGCCGGTATTCTTGTTACTGGTGGTGGCAGGCGTTGCTGCCTTCGTATTGGCACTACCACCATCCTTGGCGGTAGTTACCATACGTTGCAGCCACAGCGCCGATCCCGCTTTCTGAGATCGCTGGGCGTGCTCGTACTCATTGGTCTTCTCAATGATCTCCTGCAGCTCAGACCTCTCCGGTGTGAGCATGCAAGTGTTCCTGAGGTGGTTCTCGGCGTCGCGGGGAAGGGCAGACATAAATTTGCCTTTCCACACGTACGGGCTTGGCTTCTCAGCCATACGTTCGCCATACCGAGTCAACCGGTCGATCAAATCTATGGCACCGCCCTTCTGGGTGTATTTCGCGCCATAGAATGCTTCGGCCGCCTCGATCTCACCATCCCGTCGGATGTACCGCTCATGTAGTATCATTATTACATCGGCGAACATCCAGGCGGGCTGGTTCGGTTTCGTATAGTTTATGCTACGGATGTACCACATACTGGGTTCCCCAGTAAGTGAGTCGCCTAGCATGCGGAGCCTATCCGCGTCCATCCGCGGTCCTGTTACGCGGAGCGTCTGGAAGTACGAGAGGAGCTTGTAGAGCCACTCTTCGAACTTGTACAGATCGTCTTCGCCGCTCCAGGCCGCAGGGGTTTGCAGCTTAACGGATCGCAGGTACATGGGAGGGTCATCCATCGGTGGATCCCCTACCATGGTCTGGATCATGTTCCAGCACTTCTCCCTCGACCTTGCCAAGGGGTCTAACGCGGTTCGCGTGCGTGCTGGGGCGGTGCTTACGCTCTGAGGGTCCCGGCTCGTACCCATGTATGAGTACGCCTGGAATCTCCCATAGCCAACCCCGCCTTCTTTCGCCTTGGTTGGGTCGTTCCCGGAGTTAGAAGCGCTTGAGCCTCCAACTCCTGGTTCGAACACAACGTTCGGTTTCTGGGGAACTGGCGGTATAGGTACCCCACTTGCTGTGTACCTATACCCGTCGTTCTCGGTCCTTGTTGCACCGCCGCCGGTTCTCGGTGGAGGTGCGGGACCCGGCATGTGAGGGGGCGGATCTTTTGATGGTACAGGTCCGTCCTTCGTCTGGAAGAACGCGTACCCCGGCCCCGATGTACGGTACGGAGACCTAGTGAATCCCGGTTCACCAGGTCTCGGTTTCCGTGGTTCCGTTGGTACGGGACCCGGGGTTGGGGGTACTGCTTGGGCAGTGCCTCCTAGGGTACTGGCTAGCCGTTCCGCGGCTGCCATTCGCCTCGCGAATTCCGCGTCCGACTCGTTCCTTCCCTTGGGGAGGACCAAGTTTGCTGCTGCGAAACTCATATTGGGATCCGCGTTGATATCCGGCCGCGCCGGTGTCGAGGTCGCCGCTGGGGGCGTCCTTGGCGGCGGTCGCTGTGTCGGTATATCATTCGACGACTCGTCTTCAGTTTCAACGGTCGTAGGCCTAGCCTTCCCCCATCCGCCGAACATGCTTTCTGCTCGTTCCGGCCTTTCACGCTCCTTGCCTTTGCTCATGGGCGGACTCGACTTCCGAGGCGACGAACTTGGTTCGTCTGTCTCGTTGTCGGCCTCCGTTCCCGATTCTCCTCCTGGCTTGTTCGGGATTCTTGCCTCGACGTAGTTGGCCATTTCGTTCATGAACTCTTCAACTCCCGCGTTGAGATCCCTTCTTAGCTGGATGAACTTGGCCTCGGACTCACGCTGAAGAGCCTCGATAGCCTCCGTGTTGGCTGCTCCGAGTCTCTTAGCATGGCCTCGAATCGCCAGGATCATCGCCGATGCGCCCGACTGAGTCCCGCGACGGGACCCAGGCGAACCCTTCGGTTTGGCTGACGTCGAGCGTGCAGATTTACTGGCGTTGCTCGACTTCTTTTCCTCGGGCGTTCGGACACGTCCGCTTCCTTCCGGACGTGCCGGAGATATCCTCGCTGAATGAGGTCTGGCTCCGCTGTCTGGTGACGCAACCAATCGTTCGTCACTAAACACGCGAGCTCCTCTCGGCGATACTCTCGACGTGTAAGGTTGTTCACCTCGCTTCGGTGATCCACCCAATTGGGGTGGATCCACGGGCGAGTTAGCTCCTTTCGGAGAGGGGGACTCAGGTGCTTGGTCCGCCATTTTCTTTCTTGGTAGAAAGCGTCCGCGACTATCGCGCGGTTGTTGCGATTTAGGTTTTGTAATGATGAATGTTGTGATGGGGGTTGTTACGTAGCGTGCAGTTCCCTGATAGAGCGCCCTTCCGAGTGGAAGTTCGAGTTATCGAAGGACTGTAAAAAAGTGTAACGTGCCTTACTCAATCCCGCAGATACAGTGCACCAATCTCCATTGAGAAGTGCGATGTATCCGGAGGACGACGAGTTAAAGGACTTTTCCTTCAACTCGCCGGGCGACGACCTATAAAGGTACGACGCCAAACACACGCAAACGTATATACATACAAACATATCGATCCAATAAGTCCATAACGGGATTACACACGTCCATACGGTAACGTCCCGTTACAGTCTTGCACACCCGCCGTCTTGCACACCCACCGTCTTGCTCGCCTACCTGCCATCTTGCATTATCAATCACCCACCGTTACATTCTCCTTCTGGTTGTGCTCGCTTTCTTGTCTGTTTGAAGTCTCGGTGTACTAAAACTGTAAGAGCCTACAAACTAGATCAAACTTCCGATATAAACTAGATTTGTTTGTTAACAGCATTGTGGGCAGTTTCAGACGAGAGAGAGCATGGACAAGAAGTGTGATCTGTTGCTATAAGGCTTGCTCAATATAGTTCCAGTCGAGCTTGCCTATGGCCAACACTGCCAAATTCATACTCTGTCACTGTATGGATGTGATGGTTCGCTTTGAGCAATGAAACTCGTTGTCAGTTGGCCCAACATGCACATACACTCTTCGTAACTGTACTGCAGTTACACTTGATATAGACTTCGGGATGTCATGATCATATGTTCAGTACAACCTCTATCAGCATTCAATAGTATAGAAGTACAAAGGAGTGGACAACTAGAAGATATGTACACGAACTCAATGATAGTGGTCAGAGCACCCACTAAATGCGTGAACACTCTCCAGTGTTTTGCCCTCGGACATTGCCTCGGCCATGTCCCCGAGTCACCCGAGATGGTCTCATTCTCTTTATAACTTCACCTCTGAGCCACCATATGCTATGAGACTTTGTACCAAGCATGACTATGTGTAGTACATGGCTTGTATAGAATTCTGTGAGAATTGAACCGTGGGGTGTGTTTGTCTAAGACATGCTCTCCATGTATAACCTTCTTAGCTATCTCAAGCTATAACATTGCCAGATTGCTTCAGAGAATTGCCAGCAGCCACATGTACCATAGACACAGCATGAATACAACTTCTGTATGTACTTGATTCAAACAATTGTCTTGCAGAAGCTGAGATTTAATCCACATGCCTCTCAATATCTCCAAACAACATGTCATTTTTGAAACATATCCTGAGATCCTCTTCCCATACGAGCTGAGATTACACAAAGCCAAAGTGCTCTTTACATACACAACAATGAGGCTAATGGCCTACGTGAGTGGCTTCCCTAATCTACTACATGTAGTTCCACAGCAAATACAGTAGATCAGCGAAGTATCATCATTGTCAATTGCTGCGAGCCATTCAGGAATCACTCTAACAGAACAAGGAATACCTCAGTGTCTTACCATTGTATCTCTATTTGCTGATATACAGTTACTACATGGTGTATTGCACCTCAACACCGTAATGACTGTCTATAGACACAGTCACGGTACAAACATATATTGGACATGTTCAATAATACATCCACACCATTGGCCCCAAACCAATGAGCAAACAGCATACAGTTTTGCACGTACATACCATTCAAGTCGAGTCAAGAAACAAGATGCATACTTGCTGCCTTGTCAATGTCAAGGAGGTTATCACGATTCAAGACGGTGAGTGTCAAGGAGGCTTCTTGACCAGTCCGCCTTGATACCTCCAAGGAGCTCTCCGTCTTGAGATGTCCGTCTTGAGATGTCCATCTCAACTTGTCCGTCTTGAGATGTCCGTCTTGACAATGTCCGTCTTGACAATGTCCGTCTTGAGATGTCCGTCTTGAGAATGTCCGTCTTGAGAATGTCCGTCTTGAGAATGTCCGTCTTAACTTGTCAGCCTTAACTTGTCAGTCTTAACTTGTCCGTCTTAACTTGTCCGCCTTAATTTGTCCGTCTTAACTTGCCCGTTTTGATTTGTCTGTCTTCACTTGTCCGTCTTGACACCTCCAAGAAGGCTTCTTCAATATGCTCGCCATTTTGATATCCTCCTTGACACTTTCCACATTGAAACCTCATTGGTGTTTGCCCACCTAGATACCTCATTAACACGTTGGTATTGACCAAGATGAGCCAACCATTAGTTACCTTGGGTCAAGAAGGTCTTAGTGAGTAAGAAGGTCAAGAAGGTCAAGAAGGTCAAGAAGGTCCAAGAAGGTCGGCTGAGTCAAGACGGATATCGGCCAGGAAAGATACCTCAGCTGATGCTCGGCTCATGCATTGTCTTGGGTGAGACAAGACAGTCGGCTGAATCCAGACAGTGGTCGGCTGCAAACCTTCTCCAACCGACGGTCGGATAGTGCATTGTCTTGGGTGAGACAAGAATGGTCGGCTGAATCAAGACAGTGGTCGGCTACAGATTTTCTCCAGCCGAGAGTCGGATAGTGCATCGTCTTGGGCGAGACAAGAAGGTCGGCTGAATCAAGGCGGTGGTCGGCTACAGATTTTCTCCAGCCGAGAGTCGGATAGTGCATTGTCTTGGGCGAGACAGAATGGTCAGCTGGGTGAGAATGTCTGGGGCAGCCAATCGTCCCACGCACCGCCTTGCCCGCCTTGTGCCGCTTTGCCCGCCTTGCGCTCGGCCGACTTGATCACCTTCCATGAGACAGTTGCGGTCGGCCGAGGTCGGCCCATCCCATCCCATTCCATGAGACTGCGCGTCGGCTGTACCATGACCTTCCATGAGACAGCTGAATGGGCTCGCTGAAGACGTGCTATCCGCTTGAGGGGACGTCGAGGGGTCAGGGTCTGAGTTATCATGAGCCACGTAGGTCTGCTGTATGGCTTCTTTGAGATGTGGATAGCGCAAGACCTGCAGATAGTACTGTACTCGGCCAGACGTAAGTCACAATGATCTCATAGGGACACCTGACCTCACCTGCAGAAGGTGTCTCTGAGTTTCTATGACGCTCGCCGCCACAGCGAGAGCTTCATTCCGATTGGAAGGGACCTCGATCCCCAGATCGTTGAACACCTTCGAATCCAACGTAGGCATAGGTGCAGGCCGTTGCACCTGTTGCTTCGCCTTCTGTTTTTTCGAACCTCTGACAGGGCCTCCAGTCCTTCCACTGCTCTCAAACAAGTGCTGAGCGAGTATGTGTAGCAGTCGTTTGGCGCGTTCGACAGAATGATGTTCCATGAGGATGCCATCGGGTATATCTGCAGGCGAAGGATACGACAAGAAAACAAAGAACAGAGACAGACGTTGGAGAACGCGGCAGCCCAAAGAGGCTGAAAAAAGGCTCGCTTCAATCGGCAGAGCCTCGAAGATACCATCGCTCAATTTGTGAGCCGCCGTATCACTGAGGCCTAAGCAAGCATGTCAGTCGTCGAATTGAAGCCACTACTGATTTACTCACTGGCCAGAGCGAATTCTAACAGACAAGGAATTGATAGCAAATCCTCTACGATGCCGTCCACATTGGCTGTCCTTGCGAGATTGTTTTCGAGGTCGCCCATGGCAACCTCAAGCGCGACCTCGTCTTTCAGCACGGCTGCATCGTAGCGGCTCATGTTGAGCCGAACGGGGGTTTTTGTTTCAGCGCGTCGATCTCTCATCGTGATTGGGGGTACGTCGAGTACAGAGAGGGTAGCTACCCAACGACTGGCCACTGGGTTCTTAAGCCCCGTCGTGCTTCGTGCGAATGGCGCCTCGGTATCTCGCAACGAGGCATAGAAGGGCCTAAGCTGGGAATCGCAGATCAGATTCTGTGCGAGAACCAGTCTACAAGAAACCGCGAGGCTTAATACAACTGCGCCGCAATGGCCTCATTGCTCAGAAGCGCCACGGTACCTCACAGTGTTGTTATGACCCGAGTCTGACCGCGGTCTGACCGAGGTCAAGCAGGGTCTGACCGAGGTCAAGCAGGGTCTGACCGAGGTCATGTTGACCGCGGTCAAGGTCAATGTGTGACCCTGTGAATTATCTCTGATGACTAAGCTCCTCGGTCAATGGCGACGATAGGCTCACCGCTGAGGCTCATATCGAACCAGAGACGAAAAATACAATTAGCACTAGTTGTCAGGTACTTCAGAATTATGCACATGCAATGAAAGATCACGACTCGGAAGATACTGGGGGCTCTGACATAAGGACCTCCTGAAGGTCGGATTCTACATCTAGGCTCGCTTCGGCTTGCTGCCAGAAGCCAGCGCAATAGCTACTCAGTTGAACAAAATGGGGGTCCGACGGTTTCAGGAATAGGTTGCATAGTAAAAGCCTCTCGCGACCATGCAACGCCGCACCCACCGGTGCCGAGCTCGAAGTGGTGGCAGCCGCGCCGTCGCCGGTACTACTGCCGGGTACCAGTGGCTGCGAGCTGAGACTCCGAGTCGCATTGTCATGCTCCTCCGCTTCGTGCGAGAGTTCATCTGCGACAGCGCTGAACGAGGTAATAAGGGGTGTGTCCCATTCGGAGTCGGCGGTTCGGCCTGGACCTGAGCTCGCGTCACTGTTTGCTGGCGGTGCTGCTGACTCGGATGTGGTTGTGGACGAGACGGCGGCAGATGATGCGGATGCGGTGGTGGAACATTCGTAAGTGTGACGCTTCTTGCGCTCCTTCGCAGGCCACTGTGTATTAATGTCACCTTTGACCAAGGCCATCTTGCGAACCCTTCCAGCATCGAGACGATTGCGTCGATCGGTATGTATTGTACCCATCAAGCTGAAGAGCCGCTCCGTCGCGGCAGAGTTGGGCACAATGCTGAGTATCCGCATAGCAAGGACAACCAGTCCCTCGGGTCCTGTTGTCTTTCCAGGAGTCCAGCACGACCGCCAGACACTGACGAGATCGACAAAGGATTTCTGTGTCCAATCTAAGTCCAACAGGAACATCAACATACGCAGTATCTAAGGTACTTACCTCTGCATCTGCCATCCTCTTCAGGAGCTCGAGGCTCATCGCCTCGTCGGAGAAGGTCCCGAGCCCAGTCAGATAATCTGTAAATGCACGGCGCATCTCGTAATCGGGTGGTGCGTACTCTGGTGAAGGAAACATGCGGCGGAAGCATCGATCAACCATTCCCCAGAGTGACGCCTCGGTGAAAAGCGCGTTGTCTGGGTTGAAGGCCTTTCGCCGCAGGTAAGGGTTAAAGAGAACCGCAAGGACGAAGACTTCCTGATCGGCTTGTTTCCAGCGCTTCTCCAGGCTCTTGCGGATTGTCTCGCGTGCAGCAGCATCGTACTCCAGGCTGCTGAATATGTGGTAGAGGTGGCCAAGAGTCAGCAAGACAATGTCCAAGCGGGCATTATTCGCTTCAGTTGCATAAGTCGCGATGGCGAGAGGGCGAAGTGACTTTTCGATCCTGGGAAATGGACGTGAATGTAAGTTCAAGTTGACATCCATGTGGACTTTGAGGGGTTAATTAGCTGACGTACTCTGCAAGGTTACGCCAGAAAGACGGCTCGCTGATGAGATCAAGGATCTCAGTCGCCTTCGCTTTCAGTTCGACCTTATCGCCCGCGCACACGATCAGTTGATTGCGCGAGTCCAACACAAGGGTCCGCATGGCATTCTCGATGCGGAGCAGTCGCCGGCATGAAAGGAAGTGCGATGTCCAGCGGGTAATGACTGGTAAAATCAACGCATAAACCTTCGCTAGCTTCTCCATCATCTTCTCCTTCAGGAGCCCCAGAGCCCGACTGTGATTGTTGAACCACTTGATCACTTCCAAAGCTTGATCAACAACACGGATATGCGGGAGCTTCAATTTGAGGTAATCGGACACGACGAGATTGAGCTGACAGCAGTGTATCAGCCATGGATTTCAATATCCATACACCGAAACAAGTTACCTGATGCGCCCAGCACACCACTGTCACAATCCAAGGAAATCGCTCACGAAGAAGGCGACACATCTTCAAAGACTCGCCACTCGAATCCGTGCACCATGCGACCACCACTGTCTCGAGTACGTCACGGCAGTATTTGATCTCGTTGACGACGATCTCGAGCAAATTCTCAGCGTTCTTGGCCTTCGCAGATATATCAACTGCACTGAGAATGTATGGCTACAACACAGGTCAGCAAAGAACGGGACTAGATGCTACTATATTAGGTACGTGCCTTGTATTCGACGTTCAACATTGATGCAACTATGGACGTCTTGGTGATGTTCTTCCATGCATCACATTGACCTGTGGCAAATCGGCCCTTGACACGAGTCTTCATTGTGGTGAGCACTTTGTCTGCCTCTTCATCCAGAACTCGACCCGACAGCGTGAGCCGGCCAGGGAGTAGACAACCAGGGACCCACTTCTGAAAGAAGTGTTGCCAGTAAGGGACCTCGACAGCGTGCCACGCAATGTTGCACGCAATCAGAAGACAACACAGATCACTTGAAAACTCGCGTTGTCTGGTGTTGTTCCAAGATTGCAACTTCGGGACTGTCTCGCCGAAGAATGGTGTCCCGTTGATGGTCCCGAGCCGCTGGCGCTTAGCATAACGCAGGGCCTCTGCTTGCTCGGTATCTGCAAGATTGGGTGTATATCAGAGTGTGTACACTAGGACAGAACACCTCACAGGCATGCATACCACCACTTGACTCTGCCGCCATGATCCACTTATCGTAATCGACCTCAGGAGCTGGTGCGGACGCAGGTGCTAGGAGCGATTGACCGCCCGTCACGGTACTAGTGAGTAGCGCGTCGGAGTCGGCACTCGCGATACTCGACAAACTTGACTGGGCGGACAAAGGGCTTGCCACTGGGCCGGACGCAACAGGTCTGTTCTCGTTTTGGCTAAGCTCGTGCTGAAGCCTCGTCATCTTCGTCTCCGCAGCCTTTCGTTTCCCTCTCGCCGCATCTGCCACTGCCTCCGCGCGCACCTCGTCGGTCACATGAGGACATTGCTCGATAAGATGCTTCCGGTACCACTCGACCTTGTTACTCCTCGGTTCGATATGGATGGTCATGACTAGTGATGACGTGTTAGCTATAGGTATGTTCAAATCCGACTGTCTAATTGCCATACCTTCTTTCTCGACGTCCTCGTCGCTCCGTTCTGGCTGGCCTGTAGTAAGCTCGGTATGCTTTATCTCGCGGACTTTGTACGCCACGCAAGCCTTGCACCACGCCTCCTTGTGAGAGTGGTCTGTCTTAAAGTTGTGGTCACTTCGGTGGAAGTACTTCGCGAGGGGTGATTCATGGATCATAGAGGCGGGAAGGGAGAAGGTATAATATTCAAGACAGAGCTACGATTTGTATCTAGCAGCCGCTCCATAACAACATTATTTCATTGATTTTCGTAGCTTTGAGTCTGGGCGCGGGCGCGTCGCGTCGCGTCGATCTAACTCACGTGTTTGCTGTCGTCACGTGTTGACTGACTGCGGTCAACGAGGTCATGACCTGGGTCTGACTGGGGTCATGCCTTTGACCCCGGTCAACGGTCAATGGGGTCATGGGTGACCCTAACAACACTGATGTGAACCACTGGGGATGTGACAAGAACAGTACGAGACCGCAGTAACGTTAGAGCTCGAACACGAGACACATATTATCATACAATGACGTAATCATCCGATTAGGCAAGTGCTGTTTCAGCGGGCGCCTGTGCTCGGGCGAGTCTCTTCACCAGTGTTGTTAGGGTCACCCATGACCCCATTGACCGTTGACCGGGGTCAAAGGCATGACCCCAGTCAGACCCAGGTCATGACCTCGTTGACCGCAGTCAGTCAACACGTGACGACAGCAAACACGTGAGTTAGATCGACGCGACGCGACGCGCCCGCGCCCAGACTCAAAGCTACGAAAATCAATGAAATAATGTTGTTATGGAGCGGCTGCTAGATACAAATCGTAGCTCTGTCTTGAATATTATACCTTCTCCCTTCCCGCCTCTATGATCCATGAATCACCCCTCGCGAAGTACTTCCACCGAAGTGACCACAACTTTAAGACAGACCACTCTCACAAGGAGGCGTGGTGCAAGGCTTGCGTGGCGTACAAAGTCCGCGAGATAAAGCATACCGAGCTTACTACAGGCCAGCCAGAACGGAGCGACGAGGACGTCGAGAAAGAAGGTATGGCAATTAGACAGTCGGATTTGAACATACCTATAGCTAACACGTCATCACTAGTCATGACCATCCATATCGAACCGAGGAGTAACAAGGTCGAGTGGTACCGGAAGCATCTTATCGAGCAATGTCCTCATGTGACCGACGAGGTGCGCGCGGAGGCAGTGGCAGATGCGGCGAGAGGGAAACGAAAGGCTGCGGAGACGAAGATGACGAGGCTTCAGCACGAGCTTAGCCAAAACGAGAACAGACCTGTTGCGTCCGGCCCAGTGGCAAGCCCTTTGTCCGCCCAGTCAAGTTTGTCGAGTATCGCGAGTGCCGACTCCGACGCGCTACTCACTAGTACCGTGACGGGCGGTCAATCGCTCCTAGCACCTGCGTCCGCACCAGCTCCTGAGGTCGATTACGATAAGTGGATCATGGCGGCAGAGTCAAGTGGTGGTATGCATGCCTGTGAGGTGTTCTGTCCTAGTGTACACACTCTGATATACACCCAATCTTGCAGATACCGAGCAAGCAGAGGCCCTGCGTTATGCTAAGCGCCAGCGGCTCGGGACCATCAACGGGACACCATTCTTCGGCGAGACAGTCCCGAAGTTGCAATCTTGGAACAACACCAGACAACGCGAGTTTTCAAGTGATCTGTGTTGTCTTCTGATTGCGTGCAACATTGCGTGGCACGCTGTCGAGGTCCCTTACTGGCAACACTTCTTTCAGAAGTGGGTCCCTGGTTGTCTACTCCCTGGCCGGCTCACGCTGTCGGGTCGAGTTCTGGATGAAGAGGCAGACAAAGTGCTCACCACAATGAAGACTCGTGTCAAGGGCCGATTTGCCACAGGTCAATGTGATGCATGGAAGAACATCACCAAGACGTCCATAGTTGCATCAATGTTGAACGTCGAATACAAGGCACGTACCTAATATAGTAGCATCTAGTCCCGTTCTTTGCTGACCTGTGTTGTAGCCATACATTCTCAGTGCAGTTGATATATCTGCGAAGGCCAAGAACGCTGAGAATTTGCTCGAGATCGTCGTCAACGAGATCAAATACTGCCGTGACGTACTCGAGACAGTGGTGGTCGCATGGTGCACGGATTCGAGTGGCGAGTCTTTGAAGATGTGTCGCCTTCTTCGTGAGCGATTTCCTTGGATTGTGACAGTGGTGTGCTGGGCGCATCAGGTAACTTGTTTCGGTGTATGGATATTGAAATCCATGGCTGATACACTGCTGTCAGCTCAATCTCGTCGTGTCCGATTACCTCAAATTGAAGCTCCCGCATATCCGTGTTGTTGATCAAGCTTTGGAAGTGATCAAGTGGTTCAACAATCACAGTCGGGCTCTGGGGCTCCTGAAGGAGAAGATGATGGAGAAGCTAGCGAAGGTTTATGCGTTGATTTTACCAGTCATTACCCGCTGGACATCGCACTTCCTTTCATGCCGGCGACTGCTCCGCATCGAGAATGCCATGCGGACCCTTGTGTTGGACTCGCGCAATCAACTGATCGTGTGCGCGGGCGATAAGGTCGAACTGAAAGCGAAGGCGACTGAGATCCTTGATCTCATCAGCGAGCCGTCTTTCTGGCGTAACCTTGCAGAGTACGTCAGCTAATTAACCCCTCAAAGTCCACATGGATGTCAACTTGAACTTACATTCACGTCCATTTCCCAGGATCGAAAAGTCACTTCGCCCTCTCGCCATCGCGACTTATGCAACTGAAGCGAATAATGCCCGCTTGGACATTGTCTTGCTGACTCTTGGCCACCTCTACCACATATTCAGCAGCCTGGAGTACGATGCTGCTGCACGCGAGACAATCCGCAAGAGCCTGGAGAAGCGCTGGAAACAAGCCGATCAGGAAGTCTTCGTCCTTGCGGTTCTCTTTAACCCTTACCTGCGGCGAAAGGCCTTCAACCCAGACAACGCGCTTTTCACCGAGGCGTCACTCTGGGGAATGGTTGATCGATGCTTCCGCCGCATGTTTCCTTCACCAGAGTACGCACCACCCGATTACGAGATGCGCCGTGCATTTACAGATTATCTGACTGGGCTCGGGACCTTCTCCGACGAGGCGATGAGCCTCGAGCTCCTGAAGAGGATGGCAGATGCAGAGGTAAGTACCTTAGATACTGCGTATGTTGATGTTCCTGTTGGACTTAGATTGGACACAGAAATCCTTTGTCGATCTCGTCAGTGTCTGGCGGTCGTGCTGGACTCCTGGAAAGACAACAGGACCCGAGGGACTGGTTGTCCTTGCTATGCGGATACTCAGCATTGTGCCCAACTCTGCCGCGACGGAGCGGCTCTTCAGCTTGATGGGTACAATACATACCGATCGACGCAATCGTCTCGATGCTGGAAGGGTTCGCAAGATGGCCTTGGTCAAAGGTGACATTAATACACAGTGGCCTGCGAAGGAGCGCAAGAAGTGTCACACTTACGAATGTTCCACCACCGCATCCGCATCATCTGCCGCCGTCTCGTCCACAACCACATCCGAGTCAGCAGCACCGCCAGCAAACAGTGACGCGAGCTCAGGTCCAGGCCGAACCGCCGACTCCGAATGGGACACACCCCTTATTACCTCGTTCAGCGCTGTCGCAGATGAACTCTCGCACGAAGCGGAGGAGCATGACAATGCGACTCGGAGTCTCAGCTCGCAGCCACTGGTACCCGGCAGTAGTACCGGCGACGGCGCGGCTGCCACCACTTCGAGCTCGGCACCGGTGGGTGCGGCGTTGCATGGTCGCGAGAGGCTTTTACTATGCAACCTATTCCTGAAACCGTCGGACCCCCATTTTGTTCAACTGAGTAGCTATTGCGCTGGCTTCTGGCAGCAAGCCGAAGCGAGCCTAGATGTAGAATCCGACCTTCAGGAGGTCCTTATGTCAGAGCCCCCAGTATCTTCCGAGTCGTGATCTTTCATTGCATGTGCATAATTCTGAAGTACCTGACAACTAGTGCTAATTGTATTTTTCGTCTCTGGTTCGATATGAGCCTCAGCGGTGAGCCTATCGTCGCCATTGACCGAGGAGCTTAGTCATCAGAGATAATTCACAGGGTCACGCATTGACCTTGACCGCGGTCAACATGACCTCGGTCAGACCCTGCTTGACCTCGGTCAGACCGCGGTCAGACTCGGGTCATAACAACACTGCTCTTCACTGGGTGCAGCTGGGTGCACTTGTTCCAAGCTTGTTCGCACACAAGTACTGGACGTTGTTCTTCTGACGTCTCTCGACCTGTCAACGTGTCATAGGCCCTATAATGCATCAAGTTCCTACAGTCTGAGTCAAATCTGCTAATCTAGCGGGCGCGCATGCGTATCAAGCCGACTAGGCGGAGCGGCTCAGCACTCGCGTTCTTGAGGGCGCAGAAACAGTAGAACGAGAGATGACCGAAGTGGTGAACGTTTGAACAGTGGGAAACCGTACGTGCCGATTTGCTAGGTCTTCTTGCGCGTGCTCATTCGTGATCTGTCGTAGATTCTGGCCAGTTCCGCATGCTCAACGAACTGCTACATAAAGAATGTGCTGGCAGAGGTCAATTAGCTGAGAGACGATGTCCTTTGCAGCGACTGCCAGCGATCCGGCAAAGACGTATGAGGTGGCGTGAGGAAGTTCCAGCAAGATAAGTGATAGGCAGAGCTATACAGTTGTTGTGCATCACTTGTACATATAATACAGGTCTGCGACAATCAGTTGAGTGCGGATATTCTGTCGTAAAGGTCAATTATGTCGAGGGATCATTTCAGCGCATTGACGTGCTCAGTAAGAGGACATTAGCATCGCCAAGGATTTCATAGCTAGGACGAGCGCGATGGAAGAGGGGGGAAGGAACGAGTGTGATGAGATGAGACGAGAAAGTGGGAGGGGAATTGGGAAGGGGAGAGGGGGAAAGATCCACTGAGAAAAAGTCCGCTGTGCATCGAGCTCACGATATATCTACTGGACGACCTCGTAGAGAAAGCAATTGATCTGCTGTTCGACCCACCAGTAGGGGGTGAGGTACGAGATGTCGATCTTGTCGGCAGGGCCCGCGCCGCCGGTGAGGATTCCAACGATGCGCCCATCCCTGGCGAGGATGAGAGACCCGGAGTCGCCAGCATCGGAAAACTTGCCCGTCTCGTCGTAGGGCAAGACAGCGATCTCGATGGAGGTCTGCCCGACGCCGTAGTCGTCGTAGATGCGAATGAAGGACTCGAGACCGTTCGCGCGACCGACGGTGGTCCCAGTGGCCAACCCATTCTTCACGACGAGCAGGGACTTCTCACCGTGAAAGTCGAGGTGCTCGGGCTTGTGGATCTCGTCCTCCTGGACAACGCCATAGGCCTGGAGGAGACCATCCGGGGGGTACTGATAGTTTGCTAGATCCGCGAGCTGAGGGAACAATTTTCTGTGAAAATCAGCGAAGGAGACATAACCGCCTGCGAAGGAAAGAAAAGCAATAAAGGAGACGGGAGATGGAAAATGCGACGAGAGGCGAGATGTAAACAAAGATATCGAAAAAAAAACGTACCGACGTATGTAGGCCAATTAATCTTCGCGTCGTACAACTCTATCAAAGCCCAATCTTGAGTAAATTGTGGAGCTTGACCGAGACTTCGAACTTCTCGGAATGAAGCACGAAGCCAATTATGCGCTGGTCAGGGGTGGCACGGGGCTTGGTGACCTCGTCGTGGATCGCCTTCACCTCCTCGATCTTCTTCGTCGCCGCCGCCACTGACTTCAAGTGCTCCGCGCGCCTCTTGGTGACCTTGCTGCCAGTGTTCTCTCCCTCAACGGGCTTCCCCAGCCTGTCAAGCGCATCGTTCCAGATGTCGATGTAGCAGAGGAGGTTGCTGATGGTGCTCATCATGGCCTTGACGGCGTTGTTGTAGCCTATATCACCGAGCGCGACGAACTCCTCACGAGCCTGGCGTGTGGTGCTACACGTCATACCCGTGTTGGCGTAGACAGGAGGGGAACGGGCGACATGGGCGCAGGTCAGGACTGCGATGCGCTTGTCATCTTTTCCAAGGCGAAAGTAGAGCGAGGCTGTGCCCTCCAAGTGGGGATACTTGAGGGGTGCGATGGAGAGACCGAGGGTAGCGGTGAAGAGCCTTCGAAGTTCGGGGACATCGTCGAGGAGGGGGTCGAATGAAAGGAGCTTAGGGCCCAAAGCTCCTTTCGTTCGACCCCCTGGGCCGGCAGCGACGGAACCGTGACGAGTGACTACCGACTCGACAAAGGCCACCTCGATGGCGGGGAAGGAAGCCTCTGCGAGGATGTTCTTAACAACGGTGGCTGCAGCAACGGCAGCGTCGTAGAGCAGGGATTGAGGCTTCACACCGATGGAGAGGATGAGAGGGCAGAAGGGCTTGGCTTCCCCGGCGTAAGCGTAGGCGAGGGGGTTGATGGACGTCCACGTTACGCCGACGGAGTCGAGGTCGTGGCAGATGCGCTTGCCGATAGAGCCAAGGATCCCCAATGGCATGGCGCCGGTAGACCGCGCGAGCCTCACGTACGGTGTTTTGGGCCTCAGGCCTCAGGGCCCATGGGGACGCGCCAGTCAGGGCCAGACTTGAAGACACAGGCAGTGCCGCTGCCGTAGAAGTCGCGGTAGGCTTTGGGGTACTTGTCAGTGAGGCGATTCACGACGTCGCCCGTCCTCCTGTCATTGAGCGAGAGCTTACTAAAAGAGGAGGCAATCGGGGAGACGAGCGTGATGGGATGGATCGGAGACTGGTTCCGACCAGCCTGCTTTGGGGCGGTTAAGCAGGCGGCGACCTCCTCCTCGTCGAGATTGAGCTGAGCGGCAATGGACTTCAAGTTGAACATTGTCGACGAGAGAGCAAGAGAAAACGAAACCCCAGTGGTCAGTACTCAAGCTCAAGGAGTGATCAACAAAAGCGAGGGGGGCTTACTTATCAGACGGTCTAGATCTGTTTTCGTACAGCTGATTGCATCCGCTCAAAGAGGTCGCGTTTAGAATATGCCTATGTACGGAAGACTGTCTAATGAAGACTAGCACACACATTGCACGTCTATATTCTGAAATTTATCTCGACCCTCAATGTGTATCCTAATAGGTATTGGAACGCATCAAACTCCTACAGTCACTCACGGTGACTCACCCGAGTCAAATTCTCGATCGAAGGCGCAGAATCAGTAGAGCGAGATGTGACCACAGGCAGAGCGGTGAGCAGTGGGAAACCGTTCGCGCGAATTTGATAGTCGTGTTGCGCGTGTTCATCACTGCAGATCCTGCTCATTGCGTGATCCGAGTCCTGGGCCTGAACCCCAGTGAGAACGTGCAAGATCGCCTGCCATTCCCAGCGTTTCCCAGCTGTTCCCGCCCCACCCCGCTCCACCAAACGCTGGGAAACGAAGGGAATGGCCATTTGTCCGATTAACAGATGGGTTTCTGTTCCCTGTATGTTCCCTTCAATTCGTTTTAAATGCATGTATGTTGCAATCGAATGGCAGCAATTGCCATCTGTTTAGTACACGAGCTCTGTATCACTCGAATCCGCGCCCAAATTGGAATATAAATCGATTTTCATGGAATTAATTCTGCGCGTCTCGTAGGAGTCCGAATGTATACCACGATACAATGCAGGTATGCTATCCTAGGCCTGTGGTAGTCCCTACCCCACTGAGACACGACACTGACGCCCTCGCACTGCGCTGACAATGGGCTGCGGTAGGACTTGTCACCCGAGTTCCGCTTGGGCTTCAGGCTTCTGTCCGCATACTCGGGAACGGTTTAGAGATTTGAGTCCATAAGACTATACTACTCACCTTTGCGTTGCGGCGAGGCGACGAGATTTTGAATTGTCATTGTGACAGACAAGAGGCAGTGATCGGTCGAACATACCTCGTTCTCCGCCTTCGCATTTGCGTTGGTACCCGCAAAGCCTGTGACGCCTCACACGGCACCGATCATTGGCCGTAGCAGTGCCCATCACCTCGGTGCTCTCCGCGGTGCGGTGCGAGCCCATCACGCCGCACGGTGTCCTCGACGCTCGCGCCGTACCTCCTCTGCGAACTGCTTACGTGCTCGGTGATACCTGCGGTGGTCAGGCTTGTTCACCGCAGACGGGTACGGGTACGCGGGTCGCGGGTGCGGTATGCGCCCTGCGCACCCGTGGTGCTACCCGTGTCCAACCTTACGCTGGTGCTTTCCCTCACGCATTCCCGCCATCTGGTCACGCGTGCTCGCGGTCAGCGTGTGATGTGCGGCGCGTTGCTTCGCCCACTCTTCGCTCACGCACACGCCGTCCGGTCGTCGGCCGTGTCTGCGCGCTGGGCAGTTGCCCAGCGCGCTCGCGGTCGACGTGTGCGGCGTTGTGCTACACGTCGTCACGCCCTGTGTTTACGGTCAGCTAGCTCGCTGGCGCGTCTCTGGACTCACCTTCCTTCGCCTGCAGTCCACTCGTGGGCTGCGTCTCCACACAGGGCATTCGCGCTGCGTGGTCGCCGTCAAGCGGTCGGCGTGTATGCTGCCGCTCGCCCGCCCGCCTGCCACCCGCCGCTCGTCGACTCGTCCGCCCGCCGCCGTCGTCGTGCGCGTCATGCCGCACATCGCCTGCGAGGATCAATCACATACCTGTCAAGCATGAGCGCACAAGGACTGGAAGAAGTGCAGGGAAAAGGTGGTGGTACAGAGTCAAAGACGTCTCGACCTCGACACTTGCGTGAAGTGCACCGTCAGTGACGTCGTGGGGAGAGTGGTCACGGGACCGCAAGCCGGATTGCAGCGCACATTGGGCGGACAATTGGCAAGCGGGAAAATTTTCGGATTGAGCGAAAGCATTCATTTGGACATTTGGACATTTTGAACTGCGGGACACCCGGGATTTGTGAAAGTGTCAAATCGTGGAAGCAGTTTATGGGCTCGCGATCGCGCGGTTTGAATGCGGCAACATACACGAATCAACGGGAATAGAATTTGCTGACAGGCGCTGATAGCAACACACAGGGATTACTGAGAATCGAAGGGAATCTTGCACGTTCTCACTGGGGGCCTGAACGTTGAACGTGCAGAGAATGTGCAGGCAAAGGGAGACGATGTCCTTTGCGACGACTCCTGCCGGCGATGGGGCAATCACGTCAGGAAGTCCCTGAGAAAGATAACAGACACAGTCATAGTACGATTCCGATTGTTGTACATCACTTATATAGTACAGATCTGCATATTCTGTCGTAAACATCAATCATGTCGAGAGGTCATTTCCGCGCATTGACGTGCTCACTGGCAGTAAGAAGGCTGCCATAGCGTAAACGACGAGGCTCTCAGATCACACATCCCTCACGCTGACTGAGACCAGCGAAGCCAGGACGTCACTCATCGTCCGACCATGCAACGTCCGCGTGGTCCACCATGTTCTCATCGGCCATGTTCAGCTCAGGCTTGGGCTTCTTCATGGGCTGCGGCTTCTGCTTGAGTATACCATCGACAGCGGTCTTCAGGTAGAAGTCCCACTCGGCAGTCACGCCCGAGGGCAGACTCCGCGCGAGCTGTTCCACTTCACGCATACAGGCCCTGAGCTCCTCTCCGTCTCGTCTCTTGTGCATGCTGGCGCCAGGTTGTAGGGCTTTGATCAGACGTATAGCTTCCTTGAGCTGGTCGCTGGATACGGTCGGTGTCAGCAGACGCACGACTCGGTCACAATACGAAAGGGGACGGCGAATTGTGACTCACTTGCATTGCGTTATCTCGCCACTGACCTTCTCGAGCCCCGAATGTTGGACGTTCTTGAGGAGCCTTTTCAAGCGGTTTTTCGTGTCGTGCAGGTGGTTGCGTGCAAGCTCTAGAAAGACCATGCTGTGCGGCAGCGGTACCAGCAGCAACAGACGGTACAGCCGCTGCGGCTTCTCCATTGACTCAACCGACTTGTACGTGTACGTCGCACGGTAGGCAGTGGCGAAGCGGAGGTGAATCGTAGTGGCCGGTGTCGTGAACGCGCCCCTTTTCCTGCGGCGTGCACGGAGATAGGCATTGGCGAGCACTCGGGCTGCATCGAGCTTCTCCTGTGCCAGCTGCGCGGCAGCGGGGTCCGGCGCTGCGAAAGCTAACGATTCGTCATCTAGATTGACTACGGGAGGCGCAGTGTCGGAGTCCTGATCTTCATTTGCCTCTGGTAGGTTGTCCTCATGCTCGTGTTCCACTGGATCGACGGCAGTGGCAAGAGAATTAACCGCCCTATAGGACCCGTCTGTACGTTGGGCAACAAAGGGCACGACATCTCCGTGCAGGCCGGGAGTGGGATATGAAGCTGTGTCCGCGCCATAGCCTAGCAGAGCTGGGATCTCCCTCGCGTCGTTGTAGATGACACGCCGTACGTGTAGTCGCGGCGGTAACTGAGGCCGTCCCATCTTTGCGTGGTAGAGCTGGACCATCTCATCGAACGGAGACCCCGATGTAGAAGATCCGCGAACCTCCTTCGCAAGAGCGTCCCAATCGGGCGCATTGACGTAGCTTATATGTTGACTCTCAGTACGAGTATGAGGGGAAAAGAACGCAGACCCCTCACTGTTGATAGATGCGGTTGAAATCCCGGCCGGGGCGACAAAGCGAGGTGATTGTACGGTGGATATCTTCTCGGAGCCATGTGTAGCGGGAGTTGTAACCGACTATAGGAAACACGGTGAGTGAGTGAATGGATGTTCTTAAGACAGCGCAGAACGCTGAACAATGACATACGGAGGCAGAGATTCCTGCAGCTTTACACAGTGTTACTGTCAGCATACGGCAAGAATATTGATAAGTTCTACGTTCAAACTTACATTCTCGCCAGGAAGACATTTCTCACGTGCCAACCGAGTTTCGAGAGGTCACGACTTTCGAAAAGGAGATGCCCTGTCAGAGTCGTCAGACTGGAAAACCACTATCGGACCGGCAAGGCGTACCAGCATCGACAGTAGTGTATATTTGATCCAGTAAGCCGGCCATAGGCTTCATGTATAAGCGGATCAGATTCGTGCTCTGATTCTTCAATTGCGATAGACTAGGAAGAACTCGCTGGAGCCAGCTTCGGGGCATAGTGAGATCGTGAAGAGTGTTTGCGTCGCTCATTCGAGATGCCACTATGAGCAGCCCAGCGAGGTTGTCCATGAATTCACAAAGCACAACGATGTCCACGGACAGCCGGTTGACGAGCACATGGCTGGAACACTCATTCCGTGTCAGAAAGGGCGAGGCAAATAGGGAAATGAAGGCTCACTTGATGAAAATAATACCACTTGCAAGTGAGGCCGGATGCACGGTGTGGACATATCGCTCAAGGTCCTGAACAACGTATGCATCGGACTTCGCTTCTGTGTTGCCGCGCACGAGCGCTTTGGGTCGACATGTAACAACAGACCGGACCTGAGGCAGGTGATATAGCAACACGCCAGAATCGAAGGTCATCCCGAGTGAGATGGTTCTCATCAATGCGGTAAGGAAAGTTGGCACGAGATCATCACGGCTACCGTGCGGCCAGAGATCGTAGAGCCAGTCAAGAATCCACGTCCTGACGACTTGGATGGCAACGTTGTACTCTGGTATCATGAGCGGCCGCAAGCTGCATACCGTCCCCATCTTGAAGAAAGGAGGGTTCAGTGCCTCGTGTAGTTGACGTAGCCAAAACCTGAACAGATGTTCAGTGACTGTGACACATTCTGGTTGCTCAATGATTTACTAACCTGTGTTGCCGCGATTGCACAAAACGGTCCTCGACAGCATGTGCCGAGTTGTAGATCAAAATCTGCTGTAAAATGACCCGGATGCGCAGGTTGTATTGATCCATAGTGTACTCGTTCGAAATCACATGCTCTTGAGGACACTCCCGGTT